TAACACAGTTAAACTAATATTATAATACCTACCTATAATATGTTAATATATATATATATATATATATATATATATATATATATATATATATATATATATATATATATATATATTTTAAATATTGTATAACAGGTAGTCGCTAACACTTTCGATATCGATAGTACGCAAGACGACACAAGTATGTGCGCGGGTGACTGGACGCAGGGAGACACTACTTGGAGCTAGCGCGTCGCCCGTTGCTATGGTTTCGCTTCCCCGTATGTCATACCGCACCGCACTGTTCATCTTTCGTGGCGCAAGCCGCAAGCTATACACTATTCTATTCACCGTACATGGTACTATTACGGTAAATTAATAGAAACTATCCACCATCTCCTTCTTAGCAATGGGTTATTAATTTTATTTTTAGTAAATGTGTAAAAAATATAATAGTTCAAAGGCAAAACGCAGCAAGCGGGCATATGGAGTTCAAACTTCAAATGATACAGTGAGTGTGTACATGGTGTGTTCTCCGTCGAGCCTTTACGTGACGAGAGGCACACGAGGTGACGAGATGAGCGTGTTCAGCCGCCATGAGCTACATACATCTAGGGTTGCCAGGTCTTTAAACCGAGAAGCCGAACAGACCATCCAGCTTTGCCAAACATTTTGGTAAAAAGGCCGGACACCCTTAATTATTCAGTCTTAGTATAACACGATAATATATTTTTTAAAGTAAAACAATGCTAACCTTATATCATTTACTACAAAATCTTAAATTAAAAGAATCAGTGTTCTTTATTATTAATCATTCAATATTCATTACAATATTAGTTTCAATAATTGCAATAGGTAGTATCTATTTAAGTACATGAAAAATGTAAAAAAATGGTCAAATATAAAAAGCCTGACAAATGCCGGACAGGCCTGGACACCGTCTAATTTGGCCGGACACGCAAACAAAAAGCCTGACTGTGTCCGCCTTTATCCGGACGCCTGGCAACGCTACATACATCTGTATACAATACAGTATAGCGTAGGTTAGTTCTGTGTTTGTGTTAGGTTATGATTACAAAAATATTAACAGGTTATAGGTATTACAACATTAGTTTAACTGTGTTATGTTATGATTATGATTACGAATATATAACATTTTATAGGTGTTATAATTATAATATGCGCGTGACATCGTCAATATTAGTACTTTTGTACAATTTTATGGTAACAAAATATGTAAGTGCCTAAGTATTATTGTCCATCACATCACATAATTTTTATGATCTACATCTTGCGTGTAAGCCATTAACTATCCCGAAGGGACTCTTTACTCTCGTTGTGCGAGTCGTATATCGTGTTACGTACCTACCTATAATCATCTTAATAATAATCTGTTCAAAACGAAACGCTTACGCGAGCGCCGGTCGTGGTGTGTGTCAACTGCGTACGTAAAATAATCATTACATTTTGTCCACGACACTGGGTATACGATTATCAAGCTCGTAAGCAGTTTCTGAAACCGATTATGTTCAATAATGCTCACCTCTAGGCATGTCTCATGGTGTCTCGACGAGCGTGTACAGCCGGCATAAGATGCAAATAAAATGTGTTTACATATTTATTGATGTTTCATTGACTTAATTTGTTGGCGAAAGAAACAGTTAATTCTAAATAAAGATGCACTTATAACACAACCTATATCTCGTACATATGTCATCTCTGAGGTTACATCATGAGGTTAATTATTAAAAATAATAAGTTTGAGAGCGGATGTTCAATTTGCTCTCTTGCCTACGCAATTAATCATTATCAGCAATAAAACAGCGTACTGCAATATACATTTAGTGTAGAGCAATTACAGTTCGACCAACCGTAATATAACCCCGTCATAATCGCATCACTGGTATAACGTGAAGAACATAATTGTATAATATAGTACATGATAACAGCAAAGTATGCAAAACAACAGCAACACTACACATCTCAACGTAACAAAAAGGCAGCCTCTCAGCAACACCATCTTCCTTGCTTGCACCAGAAGAACCACCACAACGGACAGAACTACGATACTATTAAATCAACCACGCCATCATCGATATGACGACCCGCTAGTGACGCAAACTTTTGCTCCGGTGTTTTACAAATTATTAAAGTGCTTATTAATGCTTTAGTGGCGGTCTAAAGAGAATCCAGTACCTTGTATAATATCACCCCATGGGCGTCGTCAGGCGATGGAGGTAACTTGAAACAGGTGTTATGCTGAAGCATCTTCATGATGACCTGCCTTCATTATCTAGGGGGGGGGGGGGCGTTTCATTGACCTTTTGATAGGCTATAATAAATACGTTACGGCTTAAAGCCGAAGTGCTCTTACATCCGCACCAGCTACAGTTAAGTGCAGTCGATTGCGGCTATTCGATTTGGTCGCATAATTTATGTCTGAAATATCGTTCAATTTTCAACTAAATTGTTCTAATAAATATCTCAAATATCTACTTATTTTGTTCCTAACTTAATTATAACAATATATAAGCCCTTAGTTTGTGAGCAAATCCGTCTTAAATTTTGACCTTTCAATTTGGCTAAAGTTTGTACAGCCTATATTCATGCTTTTTTTAATTGTTTGTTTCTTTAAAACTTGTGGCAGGATGCCCGCTCTTTTATGACAAGAATTACCAAATAAATTAAAAAAAATACAAGAAACTAAGCTTATATGTATTTAATGAGGTTTTGTTTTTATAGTGTTTAATGAGTATGTTTACGTGTGTATGTATGTGGGTATGTGAAGCTTATTTACTTAACTTTTAATAATGCCTCTACCTCATCATACTCAAGGCGCCACTCTAGGAAAGACCTTAGCATTCGGTCCGCCTACAAACTAATATTTTAGCGTAGGTCTGCCTATGATCCAGTAGTCCACACGCTCTCGCTACAATATATCGCGTAAGAAATACGCCCAGATTTTAAAATATTTTCTTTATATAATCGAATTTTATTCTTTAAAAAAATTTATAGATCAAAATGTTCATTAATAAGTTGCCTATCCATTAGTGTCACTCGCGAAATAAAATAATGCTTACTTTATGAGATGCATGTTATCAATAACTATTTCGCATTTCTATGGATTAGTTAGAGTTCAGTGATAAAATGTGTATTTTTTATTGACTACATTGTATAAATAACCAGCCTGTCTTTTAAATTGAGATTGAGACAATGACCTTTCGGTCGTTTCAAACCTTCAATATATAGGCACATTTTATATGTAGAACTTTATTTATAATGAATGACATAAGATATATTTAATAACTATTATTAAAAAGTTATGTAAAAGATCGCTGTAGAAGAAAAATCATCTATTGTTATAAAGTACTTTATTCATTTAACAACAAAAAGCATTAATTTATAACACATATAAAGATTCCAGTGATAACGATACCGAATAAGTACGTACTTATTCAAAAGATAAAACTTTATTTTCAATATTGTATAAGTACTTTGTTTTTATTCGGTGTATGCGGGCCGGCACAAAATAGGTGACGCATCCTCTGGCTGCCATTGTCACGTTTCTTTTAGGAACTGACGTAACGCGCTTTTGTTTATTTTAAAGGGATGAATTTGCAAAAGCTCAATATGGTGATTATATTGCTTCAAATATTTTTTTTTAATATGAAACTGTTATTAAATGAATTGCTGCGTTACTTACCATAAATTGAAATATAAAATACTAGCTGTTATCCGCGGCTTCGCCCGCATGGTCACTGGGAAATAAACTATCCATTACTTTTTGAATTGAAAGAAAACTGAGTTTTATAGATTTGTCAGAGATGCGCCGTCATTTGTCAGAGATACATAAGGAAACTGAGCAAAATTGATTCGTCAGCCTATTTAAATGTTCTGAAACGCAGCGTATAGGAAAGCATGAAAATAGCCTGTTTATTCCAAATGGAAATGGCATATTTTTTAATTAAAGGAAACTGAGCATAATTATCCGTCAGGGATGCAGACTTTTGAAAAAAAAACTGAGCTAAATTGTCATAATACAGTTTGCATTTTTCTGCTTGATTATACATGTTATACACGTTAAGTAATATCATCATTCGCTCTCGGTTTTCATCGCGATACCTACGAGACTCTTTGACTCGAGCGCAAAAAAACCGACACGCTTCCGAGAGCGCACGAGGGACACGAGACGCGACGCGACGCGACGAGAGCACCCTGTACACACTCGTACTCGCCCTGTCTAGACATGGGTCGTAACGTCTTGGACGTAATCGGTTGTACGTAGTTTCGTGGATATGAGTAACTAGTTTCAAAACTGCTTATTTTTGTAATTAGTTACATATGTATACAGTATAGCGTAGGTTAGTTTTGCGTTTGTGTTATGTTATAATTACGAAAATATTAACATATTATAGGTAGGTATTATAATATTAGTTTAACTGTGTTATGTTATGATTACGAATACGTAACAGGTTATAGGTATTATAACATGTGCGCGACATTGTCAATATTAGTACCTTTGTACAATTTTATACAGTCACAAAATATGTAAGTATTTAAGTATTATTGTCCATCACATCACATAATTATTATGATCCACATAATACACAAAAATTAACTTAATACAAAAAATATTTATTATTTATTTACACCAATTATATGTCTGTTTATGTACACTAAATATTTATATACACTTTAAATGTTTATTCACAAAGAAAACTATACATGTTATAATATTTATAAAGGAAAACGCGAAGTTTTTAAGAACAATGTTAAATAACGCTCGCCTCTAGGCCTGTCTCGTGGTGTCTCGACGAGCGTGTACAGCCGGCATTAGATTTAGAACACAATATGGAAGTTATCATAAATATTATAACATCTTGCTTATAAAAATGTTTTAGAAAACGTAAAATATTTTAATAACCTCTTGTAACTAATTACTTTAAGCCTATATTTTAACAGGTTAACGTTATAAATGTACATAAAAGTAAAATAAGTTTACATCGAGAAGTAACATCATTTGACTACAGCTCGATTTCTGAAACAAAGAAATAAGGAAGCGATTAGGGCATATCATTTAAATTCAAGAAAATTTAATATCTGTTCACTAAAATAGTCTTAATAAAAAAGAAATATTAAATCCGAAAGTATATATATATATATATATATATATATATATATATATATATATATATATATATATATATAGCTTTTTACGGATTTAATATTTCTTTAGAGAAAGAAAATTTAATATCTGTTCCCATAAAATAGTCTTAATAAAAAAGAAATATTAAATCCGTAAAAAGCTATATATATATATATATATATATATATATATATATATATATATATATATAGCTTTTTACGGATTTAATATTTCTTTTTTTATTAAGACTATTTTAGTGAACAGATATTAAATTTTCTTGAACTTAAATGATATGCCCTAATCGCTCCTTATTTCTTTGTTTCAGAAATCGAGCTGTAGTCAAATGATGTTACTCTCGATGTAAACTTATTTTACTTTTATGTACATTTATAACGTTAACCTGTTAAAATATAGGCTTAAAGTAATTAGTTACAAGAGGTTATTAAAATATTTTACGTTTTCTAAAACATTTTTATAAGCAAGTTGTTATAATATTTATGATAACTTCCATATTGTGTTCTAAATCTAATGCCGGCTGTACACGCTCGTCGAGACACCACGAGACAGGCCTAGAGGCGAGCGTTATTTAACATTGTTCTTAAAAACTTCGCGTTTTCCTTTTATAAATATTATAACATGTATAGTTTTCTTTGTGAATAAACATTTAAAGTGTATATAAATATTTAGTGTACATAAACAGACATATAATTGGTGTAAATAAATAATAAATATTTTTTGTATTAAGTTAATTTTTGTGTATTATGTGGATCATAATAATTATGTGATGTGATGGACAATAATACTTAAATACTTACATATTTTGTGACTGTATAAAATTGTACAAAGGTACTAATATTGACAATGTCGCGCACATGTTATAATACCTATAACCTGTTACGTATTCGTAATCATAACATAACACAGTTAAACTAATATTATAATACCTACCTATAATATGTTAATATTTTCGTAATTATAACATAACACAAACGCAAAACTAACCTACGCTATACTGTATACATATGTAACTAATTACAAAAATAAGCAGTTTTGAAACTAGTTACTCATATCCACGAAACTACGTACAACCGATTACGTCCAAGACGTTACGACCCATGTCTAGACAGGGCGAGTACGAGTGTGTACAGGGTGCTCTCGTCGCGTCGCGTCGCGTCTCGTGTCCCTCGTGCGCTCTCGAAGCGTGTCGGTTTTTTGCGCTCGAGTCAAAGAGTCTCGTAGGTATCGCGATGAAAACCGAGAGCGAATGATGATATTACTTAACGTGTATAACATGTATAATCAAGCAGAAAAATGCAAACTGTATTATGACAATTTAGCTCAGTTTCTTTTCAAAAGTCTGCATCCCTGACGGATAATTATGCTCAGTTTCCTTTAATTAAAAAAATATGCCATTTCCATTTGGAATAAACAGGCTATTTTCATGCTTTCCTATACGCTGCGTTTCAGAACATTTCAATAGGCTGACGAATCAATTTTGCTGTTTCCTTATGTATCTCTGACAAATGACGGCGCATCTCTGACAAATCTATAAAACTCAGTTTTCTTTCAATTCAAAAAGTAATGGATAGTTTATTTCCCAGTGACCATGCGGGCGAAGCCGCGGATAACAGCTAGTATTTTATATTTCAATTTATGGTAAGTAACGCAGCAATTCAATTAATAACAGTTTCATATTAAAAAAAAATATTTGAAGCAATATAATCACCATATTGAGCTTTTGCAAATTCATCCCTTTAAAATAAACAAAAGCGCGTTACGTCAGTTCGTTCTAAAAGAAACGTGACAATGGCAGCCAGAGGATGCGTCACCTATTTTGTGCCGGCCCGCATACACCGAATAAAAAACAAAGTACTTATACAATATTGAAAATAAAGTTTTATCTTTTGAATAAGTACGTACTTATTCGGTATCGTTATCACTGGAATCTTTATATGTGTTATAAATTAATGCTTTTTGTTGTTAAATGAATAAAGTACTTTATAACAATAGATGATTTTTCTTCTACAGCGATCTTTTACATAACTTTTTAATAATAGTTATTAAATATATCTTATGTCATTCATTATAAATAAAGTTCTACATATAACATGTGCCTATATATTGAAGGTTTGAAACGACCGAAAGGTCATTGTCTCAATCTCAATTTAAAAGACAGGCTGGTTATTTATACAATGTAGTCAATAAAAAATACACATTTTATCACTGAACTCTAACTAATCCATAGAAATGCGAAATAGTTATTGATAACATGCATCTCATAAAGTAAGCATTATTTTATTTCGCGAGTGACACTAATGGATAGGCAACTTATTAATGAACATTTTGATCTATAAATTTTTTTTAAAGAATAAAATTCGATTATATAAAGAAAATATTTTAAAATCTGGGCGTATTTCTTACGCGATATATTGTAGCGAGAGCGTGTGGACTACTGGATCATAGGCAGACCTACGCTAAAATATTAGTTTGTAGGCGGACCGAATGCTAAGGTCTTTCCTAGGAGTGGCGCCTTGAGTATGATGAGGTAGGCATTATTAAAAGTTAAGTAAATAAGCTTCACATACCCACATACATACACACGTAAACATACTCATTAAACACTATAAAAACAAAACCTCATTAAATACATATAAGCTTAGTTTCTTGTATTTTTTTTAATTTATTTGGTAATTCTTGTCATAAAAGAGCGGGCATCCTGCCACAAGTTTTAAAGAAACAAACAATTAAAAAAAGCATGAATATAGGCTGTACAAACTTTAGCCAAATTGAAAGGTCAAAATTTAAGACGGATTTGCTCACAAACTAAGCGATTATATATTGTTATAATTAAGTTAGGAACAAAATAAGTAGATATTTGAGATATTTATTAGAACAATTTAGTTGAAAATTGAACGATATTTCAGACATAAATTATGCGACCAAATCGAATAGCCGCAATCGACTGCACTTAACTGTAGCTGGTGCGGATGTAAGAGCACTTCGGCTTTAAGCCGTAACGTATTTATTATAGCCTATCAAAAGGTCAATGAAACGCCCCCCCCCCCCCCCCCCTAGATAATGAAGGCAGGTCATCATGAAGATGCTTCAGCATAACACCTGTTTCAAGTTACCTCCATCGCCTGACGACGCCCATGGGGTGATATTATACAAGGTACTGGATTCTCTTTAGACCGCCACTAAAGCATTAATAAGCACTTTAATAATTTGTAAAACACCGGAGCAAAAGTTTGCGTCACTAGCGGGTCGTCATATCGATGATGGCGTGGTTGATTTAATAGTATCGTAGTTCTGTCCGTTGTGGTGGTTCTTCTGGTGCAAGCAAGGAAGATGGTGTTGCTGAGAGGCTGCCTTTTGTTACGTTGAGATGTGTAGTGTTGCTGTTGTTTTGCATACTTTGCTGTTATCATGTACTATATTATACAATTATGTTCTTCACGTTATACCAGTGATGCGATTATGACGGGGATATATTACGGTTGGTTGAACTGTAATTGCTCTACACTAAATGTATATTGCAGTACGCTGTTTTATTGCTGATAATGATTAATTGCATAGGCAAGAGAGCAAATTGAACATCCGCTCTCAAACTTATTATTTTTAATAATTAACCTCATGATGTAACCTCAGAGATGACATATGTACGAGATATAGGTTGTGTTATAAGTGCATCTTTATTTAGAATTAACTGTTTCTTTCGCCAACAAATTAAGTCAATGAAACATCAATAAATATGTAAACACATTTTATTTGCATCTTATGCCGGCTGTACACGCTCGTCGAGACACCATGAGACATGCCTAGAGGTGAACATTATTGAACATAATCGGTTTCAGAAACTGCTTACGAGCTTGATAATCGTATACCCAGTGTCGTGGACAAAATGTAATGATTATTTTACGTACGCAGTTGACACACACCACGACCGGCGCTCGCGTAAGCGTTTCGTTTTGAACAGATTATTATTAAGATGATTATAGGTAGGTACGTAACACGATATACGACTCGCACAACGAGAGTAAAGAGTCCCTTCGGGATAGTTAATGGCTTACACGCAAGATGTAGATCATAAAAATTATGTGATGTGATGGACAATAATACTTAGGCACTTACATATTTTGTTACCATAAAATTGTACAAAAGTACTAATATTGACGATGTCACGCGCATATTATAATTATAACACCTATAAAATGTTATATATTCGTAATCATAATCATAACATAACACAGTTAAACTAATGTTGTAATACCTATAACCTGTTAATATTTTTGTAATCATAACCTAACACAAACACAGAACTAACCTACGCTATACTGTATTGTATACAGATGTATGTAGCGTTGCCAGGCGTCCGGATAAAGGCGGACACAGTCAGGCTTTTTTGTTTGCGTGTCCGGCCAAATTAGACGGTGTCCAGGCCTGTCCGGCATTTGTCAGGCTTTTTATATTTGACCATTTTTTTTACATTTTTCATGTACTTAAATAGATACTACCTATTGCAATTATTGAAACTAATATTGTAATGAATATTGAATGATTAATAATAAAGAACACTGATTCTTTTAATTTAAGATTTTGTAGTAAATGATATAAGGTTAGCATTGTTTTACTTTAAAAAATATATTATCGTGTTATACTAAGACTGAATAATTAAGGGTGTCCGGCCTTTTTACCAAAATGTTTGGCAAAGCTGGATGGTCTGTTCGGCTTCTCGGTTTAAAGACCTGGCAACCCTAGATGTATGTAGCTCATGGCGGCTGAACACGCTCATCTCGTCACCTCGTGTGCCTCTCGTCACGTAAAGGCTCGACGGAGAACACACCATGTACACACTCACTGTATCATTTGAAGTTTGAACTCCATATGCCCGC